AAATTCCCCTCCCCAGTCAGCTCCTGCAGATGTGGGCCCCTAGCCAAACAACCCTCTTTATCAAAGGAACCAGGAATAGTTCCAGATTATCCTTGGGTAGTGAGTCTTAATACCTTGCCAGCCTCTGGATCTCATTGGTCGAGTGTCAGGTGTCCTGTGTTTAGTCTCCCCATAACCCTAGGGAAGTCATCCCTTCCTCACCAACAGGGTGAATAGGACACCATTAAAATGGTCCTTACTACTAACTGGTTTCATCTGTACTCTTAAGATAAATTATTTATCTTCTACATGCACAAATGCAAATTTCATACATGTTGTTCTTACATATTTTGGTTAAGATTCTAAAACAAGTTGTTTGATTTTTGATTGACAGACTGGGGGCAACTTTCTGAAACATTTAACTTGGAGAGGTGGGTCTCCACTAATTGAGGGCAGTTTTTACCATTTCTGCTCCCAGGCATGAAACCCTAATAGCTAATGTGCAACCTCCAAAAGCTAAGGAAACCATGGAAACCTTCCTAGTACATTGGCAAAACCCTTCCCCAGGCCTGCGTGGCTTGCAGCCTACCTGACAGGAGTGTGGGTATTAGTGTAAACAAGCCGCCATTACAATTGTGGAATATGTATTACGTTCCAGGTAGTAGATAATTACAACACTAAAAATGTCAGCACTATTTTTATCTCCTTTTTACAGGTGAAGAAATGAAGCTTAGAGAGGTTAAGGAACTTTCCCAATGTTTTGACTTTGTTAATTAACATTTGTTAAGTGGATGGTGAGGCAAAGTTCAACAACAGACCATAACAGTAACTGAAATAGTTTTTATTACTCACAGATCTGGGAGGAAGTACACAGTGTGACTGGAGGGTCCACATAGGGAGGTCAAGACAGAGTGTAGGCAGAGAATGGACCTGGGCATATACCTTTATTAGGGTCTATGAGTGGCGTGCTTTAGGCTTCCCAGGCTCGGACCAGATCAGCCCATTTAAACCAAAAGAGTGAGATTTTGCTCAGCCCTGGGGGATCATATTTAAGGGGCCCATACAGCATACAGGTGCTGGGAAGCAGTGGAGACAGTTGACCACAAGGGTTGCTGGGGAAGTGGTATCAGGAATTACATTTGCTTGTGACTCTGGCAAGCTGCTATCTAGGGCATGTGGTTGCATGAGGGAGGTAATGTCAACGTAAGGTCCCTGAAAGTCACTTGGCCAAACAAAATGGATGCCAAAGTAGCAATACCATGGAGTAGCTTAGCTAAACTGTCCACACCCAGTCACACAGGTATTAAGTGGCAAAGCAGGGCTTCAAACTCAGTTATAAACCTGCAACTATCCTTTTTCTCACTATGCTTTATTACCTCTCACTGACAGAAGAAAAAAGAACCATCAAGACATGTTGCAACTGCTGTAATTTCAACCTACCCCTCAATACCTGGAATGTTTTTAAATTTCTCATTTTTAACACATTCAAGGCACTTAGTATGCTACCTGACACATTCAATAAACATTAGATATGAATACTTACACAGCAATAATTATAACTCTTTCTTCTCCTTCTTAAACTATTTTTCCACTCCAATACTCACTTTCATTAAAGAAAACTAATCTCACCCTCCCCTCCTTCCTCTAGTGGAAGATAGAGACAACTTAACAAGATCTTTCTCAGGGTAGCCTCCTCTGCATTTTAGCACATCACTTTCCCAACATTCATCCAATCATGTCTTTAGAGGAAGGTTTTTCTACTTTCCAATTTAAACCTTTAACTTCAATTCTTCCCAACTCTCTACAAAGAATTTCCATTTACACATCCTGTTATCATCTGCAACCAATCAATATTCATTCAACAAGCAATGGTTGAGCTCTTACTAAATGATAAATACAGCAAATTTTATGATGAATAACTCACAGAACTCCTCCTTTCCACTAAGTGTAGTGGAAAATAAAAACTTGTTCAAAAATAAGAACACAAAACAAATAAATGCTATACATAGGTCTGCAAGCCTTGTCCATGTCTGCTGTAAGACCAGAAGTGGAAGGGGGTGAAAGGAGACCAGGGCACTGTGTGAAGAAGGGGACCATGGGTAAGTGAGAATTAAGGAAGGAAAAAGGCAAATAAAGGGCTGCCATGGACAGACTGAAGAAAAAAATGAAAACGGGTGCAAGGAAGGTAGAAGGAAGCGAAAGGCAAATGGTCCAAAGTCGGGGGAAAGATGAAACAGACTCAGAAGGCAGGTGCACTGAGCAAAGGCGCATCATTCTCACCGACCTCCTCCCTGTCCTGGTCCAGGAGGCTAGGCCAAGGCTTGTAGCTCCTGCAGGGATCGCAACAGGCAGTCGAGGAGGCAAAAGCGAAGCAGGTGTTGCTCGACACTAAGACCTATTCTCCCTAAAGATAACTTGAACCAGGGCAGTAGAGCCGGTTTTGGTAACCTTGGCTGCAGCCACCCAGCTGAGGCCTGAGGCCATTTGGATCCCTTGACCAAGAGCAGGAGTGCCTGGGAGAGTGGTAGCTCCCTCAGGGGAACTCGTGGACTTGTTGCACTCCAGGTTCCTGGACAAAATGCGACACTTTGCCCAAACCCTGGAGCCCGGAGCCCTCCCACTATCCCACCGGGCAGCGGGCAGCATACCAGCGCCATTGTTGTTGCGAAAATAGGGAACCGCCTCCTAAGCCTGGGAACACGCCTAATTCTCAGAACCCACCACTGCGCAATCTCATAAAGCTAAGGAAGCCGTGGAAGTCTTCCCGGTACATCAGGAAAACTCTTCCCCAGGCTTACGTGGCTTGTAGCCTACATGAAAGGAGTGTGGGTATTAAACAAGCCGCCTTTACAATCGGTTCCGGGTATCCTTTTGGTTCCACCTAGGGCCCGCTAGCTCCAAATTGAACTGGAGACTATGTCTTCTGAGACTTGTACTTGAAATAACTGAAGAGAAGGATGATCACAGAATGTGTTTCACAGAATGGCCCTATCAACAATACAGTCAATTTTGCTTGTGTTTCAGGTGCTTTCTGTGCATACATGTGTTACATATTCTGTACTATTGGGTGCTTACTGTGTCTCATATATGCATATTTATATATATGTATGTATAAATAATATAACAATATGTATAAATAAAGTATGTGCATACATATATACATGGTAGAAAACAGGATGGGGCAAAAGTAGTTTTACAGTTGTTTGTATGGAAAATAATACAATAATTAGTAACTAATACAAGAATAAACTGTGTGTTTCATGTATTCACAAACTGTAAACCTACTTTTGCCCCACCCTGTATATAGTAATGGCTCAAATCTAATTACTTATACGTGAATTTCAAAGTGCCTGGGAGGTCCTTACCCCCATACTCCCCACACATTGTTCAAGGGTCAACTGTACATATTTTTAAAGTCTATCTTTAATTAAAAGACAAATCTAAATGGGATAAGAAAAGCCACAAAGTATTCAAAGTATTTCCTAAGCAGCTGACAGTGTGTTTTAGTGTAAAATTTAGCAAAAAGAAATAATACAGTAGGCCCACTTACCTTTCAATTTCAGGCATACAACAAATAATGTTTCAGTATAAGTATTCCCATACAATAATAATGCAACATGACATTTGCACTGGCTCTTTCCCTTAGTTCACTCTGTTCTCAGCTCATACATCATCTTTTCAGAGAGGCAGTCCCTGAACACACTATCTGCAATAGCATCCTCATCATTCTCTATTACTTTACACTGTTTACTTCATAGCACTCATTACTTTCTATATTTAGGTAATATGTGTATTATATGTCTCCCTAAGTTTCATGAAGACTGAGAGTTTATTTTGATGACAACGGTATCCACAGTGCCTAGGACATTGTGTGGCATGGAGTAGATACTAAGTGATGTGTATTTAATGAATAAATGAATGGATTTTTGTTGTGTCAGGGTTTATAGGAGTTTCATTCCGTCACATATTCATAATCAACCTTGTTGTTTAGTTTTAGCCCTTCATTTAAATATATTGACTCACTGTAAAATGTCCACTCTTAATTCTTTATTTTGACTCATTTCTTATTTTATTTCATATTATTAAGTAATTTTTTCACAAAGGACTCATGGGTATTATAGTCCCTCAATTTTTTTTCATAACTGAAATATCAAACTATTTGCTTTTTTAGATAGAATGCATTATTACAAGCAATCATCAACTCCTTCTTTACCAGAAGGGTTATATATCCCTATCCAATTGACTCCGGAATGTTTTAAGATGAAAAAGAGAATTAATAATATTAAACAAGTCGCTTAAACAGAGAGTTGTTGGGCTTAAGCAGAAAAGGGGCTGGTGATGAAAAAGCAAACATATTTAGCACTTATTGGGTTCCAGACACTCATTCATTCAACATCAGGTAACCATATCTGTCTACCATTTATTGGGTCAGGATAGGCTTCACAAATAAGATAGTGCTTGAGTTGTGTCTTTACAAAAGATCAGACACTTACCAAACAACAGGAGAGGTAAAATGTTGATACAAAAGGAATGGTTATTCCAGGCTCAGCTGCCAGGTACAGACACGGAAGCATTAAACACCATATCATATTTTGGCAATCATAAGCAGTTTGGCACTATATGTATCCTCAAAACAACTCTATAGGAAAGAATTATTACTCTGGCTGATGTGGCTCAGTGTATTGAGTGCTGGCCTGTGAACCAAAGGGTTGCAGGTTTGATTCCCAGTCTGGGCACATGCCTGGGTTGTGAGCCACGTCCCCAGTGGGGGCACACGAGAGGCAACCAAACATTGATGTTTTTCTCCCTCTCTTCTCCTTCCCTTCCCCTCTCTCTAAAAATAAATAAACAAAATCTTCTTGAAAAATAAAGTGTTATTATCCTTATTTTATAAAAGAAGAATCAGGCCCAAGGTTATACTGCTATTGACAATACCAGAATCCCAACCAACATCTGTTTCTCAAGTCTTTGTTTTTTCCAATATGCCCTACCGTGGTTTCTTTTTTTTTCTTCTCCTTTTATGCCAGACCGGTAATATGCTAATGTCATAACAAGGTTTGAGAGAGGCACATCCTACACAGATCATTAACATCTAACCATCATGCTTATGAATTAGAAAAGGATCATAGTTTCTTCTTATACTTGTGTAGTGGCCCTACTAAATCTGTGAAGCTAAGTATAACTCAGAGGAAGGTCTTTAGGATGAAATGAATGTCATTTTTTCTCTATCATCATCAATTAATATATATTAAGCACCCACAAGATTCCTGACATTTTAATGTAGGAAAGGACAGTTGCCACCTTCATAGAATTCATAACAAAGTTCAAATAAGGCAAGGAAACACATGGTTCTGAAACAGATTTCATTATTAGCCAGTCAAAAACCTTTCTAGAATGTCAATTGATACTTCCAAATCTATTTGATATAGGTTCTTCTTTTTTAAACCTACTGAGTGTGAAGTGGGGCTAAGCCTGAAGATAAAAAGAAAATGAAAGGCGAAATTAACTTCTTGATAATCAGAAAATTAATGAAGCTTTCCAGAGACCTTGTCCCAAAGGCAAATATTAAGGCCACTCAAGTTTCTTGGACTACTCTGCCTTCCTACAAAAAAATTCGTTTCCTACTCATTGGATCCCCTTTAATTATAAGTAGCTTTTAAACTTTAGTTTAGTTTTTGCTAAGTTATGGGTGAAGAACATGGATAGAAGGGAAAAGAAGGTTTCCTGTGCTTTGAATTAACAAGTCTTCATCATACTTCAGCTGAGTCTCCACACTTTTAAAGCCTATTCAGAAAAAGGACAAAAAAGCAAGGCAATCCTGTGGGTGGTCTTGGTGCTGTTCATGCTGGTCAGCAAAAGAAGTTGTATTGTGTCTTCAAATTTACTGAGAGGTAAGCAACACAATTTGATATCAAGAGTGGCAGCTGCTGCCACTGTGATCTGTATTTCAAAGTTAAGTCACGTTTTAGTTTTAGTCAACTTTGCATTTTAGTTTTAGTCAACTTAGCTGCTTAAAGATAAATAGATCCTAAACTTTTGAGATGTACTTTATCCTAATACCATATGATTTCACATATATATGGTATTTAAATAATAAAATAAACGAACAAACAAAATTGAAAGACTCATAGACACAGAGAGCAGACTGGTGGTTGCCAGAATAGAGGGGTGTTGAAGAACTGGGTGAAAGGTGAAGAGATTAAGAAGTACAAATTGGTAGTTACAAAATAGTCAAAGGTATGTAAAGTACACCATAAGGAATATAGTCAATAATACTGTAATAACTATGGATGGTGCAGGGTGGGTACTGAAAATGTAAGATGGAACACTTTGTAAAGTATATGATTGTGTAACCACTATGCTGTATACCTGAAACTGATACAAAGTAATATTGAATGTAAACTGTAATTGAAAAATAAAATTTTAAAGTTCTTTTAAAAAGATGTACTTTGTTTTATTTCCCTTTTTTGCTACTAAATTTTGGGGGAGTATGACTCAAGAATGGTTATTAATCTTCTAAGTAGTTTTGTTAGGTACTCAGTTGTCAGAAAAATACTACCATTTGGTTTAGTTTCCTTTATAACAGTACACTCTTATTTCCCATGAAATGTGTTTATATTCAACAATGAAACTTTCATAATTTTAAGTCCTCATAAAAAAAACCAATGATACAACAATTACCACATGATTTTTCCCAAAATATAAAATTTTGGAGAAGAAACTAAAGAACATTATGTGAATTTTTTATTTCTGTGTGAAAATGCAACTGTATTATACTACTTTGATATTGTGCTATGTGGATTTACTCTATTGAGGAGAATGTAGAATACACTGGGTATGGATAGATGATTATATCATTGTCTGATTTTATGCTGAAGAAAATAAGATATAGTTAGGTTTGTTTTTATCCTGATGGACATTTTCAGTAAGGTTTTTGTAGGAAAGAAGCACAGGGATTGACTGAAAGGTAAACAGGTGCAAATTCAAGTTTTTAGAAACTGATGCAATATTATTCTATACATATTTTTTAAAAAGAAAATGATACCAATGAGTCCTTTTATTGTCAAAGAAAAAAAAAACTACTATTTTGGTTCCTTAGTTGAATATGATCATTAACCAACCTAAAGGGAACTATTTTACTCTCCAGACACCAATCCCCTTGCATCATTCATCTTAGTACTCAGTTGGAAGGGTATTACTTAAAGATTTTCTTAAAATTACCATAACTCAGTTATTCATTCATTAAACAATATTGAACACCTACTATGTGTCTGACACTAAAGCTCTCTGAGGAGGAATGCTATGTAAATAAAAATAATAAATCAGGACTTCCTGTCAAGAGGGCAGTATAGGTAAACACGGCTTGCCTCTCCACACAACCACATCAAAATTACAACTAAAATATGGAACAACCATTACTCAGAACCATCAGAAATTGAGTCAAATGGAAGTCTGGCAACTGTGGAATTAAAAAGCCGCATCCATCCAGACTGGTAGGAGGAGCCCAAATGCAGAATGGGCTTGTCCCTCTCCCATGTGTGGTGGATAAAAATTTGGGAGGGATATCTCAGTAGTGAAGAGTCCCAACCCCACAACAGGGCCACCACCCCAGGGTTCCAGTGCCAAGAAGATAAGTCCCTACAACTTCTGGCTGCAAAACCAGCAGGGACTGAGTTGGGGAAGAAATTGCTGGAGCCCCAAGCAGTTTCTCTTAAAGAACCCACACATGGACTCACCTACTCAGACTCATTCCCTCTGAACTCCAGAATTGGAGTAGCAGCTTGAAAGGTACCAGTGACATAAAGGGAGGAACTGAAGTGTCTGGCATCAAGGCAAACAGAGGCCATTGCCCTTTTTCTAAACCCTCCGCTCCCACAGAGCCAGTAAGCTGGTGACATATCTGAAACTCTGCCAATCTTGCTAACACTGTTTAACCCACCTTGGAGATCTCCAGAGACTCTGCCCCACCCAAGTTATGGCCCACCCAAACTGCCTTTCCATATGAATGGCTGGTCTTGGTTCATGCTTCACAACTTTCTAAATCCTCTCAAACAAGGAACAGCTGGGCTCAGTGAGACCCAATCCTAGCATTAGCAGCAGCCAGCCTATATTCACAGCTTGATTTGCCTGGGAATCTCCAAGACTCGCAGAAGCAGCAGCCTTCTCAGATTGTTTTATAGAAGGCAGGGTAGCCCTGGGAAGAACACAAGTTAGGACTGACCTTGGTCTGCACCACTCAGGAAACCCCAGGGCCAGTGCACCCAGTGGACAGCTACAGACCATGTCAGAGAACCACCACCCTGCCCCTACACAGCTGATCCTCCACAAAGGGCAGAGGTTGGTGGTAAGTGGTCACAGTCGATCCTTGCATCTGACTGACCTGGGTAAATCCCTCTCCTTGACCTGCCAACACCAAGGCTCAACTACAAGAGGAGGGTACACTCAGCACGCAAAAAGGGCGCACCTTGAGTACCCAGTTTGGGTGATGGGGAGGCTGTGCCACTGGACCCTACAGGACACGTACTACATTAGACCCACTACCAAGACACAGAGTCATAGCTGCTCTACCTAGTACAAAGAAATAAACACAGGGAGGCTGACAAAATGAGGAGACAAAGAAACATGGCCCAAATGAAAGGACAGAACAAAACTCCAGAGAAAGAACTAAATAAAATGGAGATAAGCAATCTATCAGATGAGGAGTTCAAAATGTTGCATCCAGCAAATGCGAGAACAAATATTGGAGACTTTCAGGGTATCAAAGATGTTGCTTTATTGGCCAAGTTTAACCTGCGCAGGGGCGAACTCTCAAAGTGTCCGGAGACACGGTACCCACAAGGGCTGCAGACGAGAGTCGCGCCAAGCGCTTACAGCTAAGTCCTTATATAGGGGTTTTGGCACGAGCAAGCAAGCGTTTCACAGAAGCTGATGTGGCAGTTAGCTATTTGCTTACAGAGACCGTGCGCGGGAACAGAGTAAAATTCAAATTTTTAAAACTAAACAAAGCATTGCTTATCTAGCATACCCAGGGGAGAACATCTGCACAACACAGGACGTTTGCTCAACTACATCCTGCACTCTGTCTCCCTTGTTAGTTCCTTTTAGCTACAATGCGGTTCCTGTTTACTAAGGTCACATTTAGTTCTTAATTTCCTTGTTCCCAACACAAAACACTGGTTTTAAGGATGCTCAAGGAACTTAGTGAGGACCTCAGCAGCATAAAAAGGATCCAGTCAGAAATGAAGGACTCACTAATTGAAATAAATAACCATTTACAGGGAAATAACAGTAGAGTAGATGAAGCTGAGAATCAAATCAATGATTTGGAACACAAGGAAGCAAAAAACAACCAATCAGAACAACAGGAAGAAAAAAGAATCCAAAAACATGAGGATAGTATAAGTAGCCTCTGGAAAAACTTTAAGAGGTCCAACATTCGCATCATAGGGGTGCCAGAAGGAGAAGAGAAAGAGCACAGAATTGGAAATCTATTTGAAAAAGTAATGAAAAAAACCTTCCCTAATTTGGCATAGGAAGTATACATGGAAGTTCAGGAAGCACAGAGAATCCCAAACAAGAGAATAAAAAGGGGCCCATTCCAAGACACATCATAGATAAAGGGTCAAAGGTCAAAGATAAAGAGAGTATCTTAAAAACAGCAAGAGAAAAGTAGTTAGTTACCTATATGGGAGTTTCCATAAGACTGTCAGCTGATTTTAAAAAAATGTTGCAGGTCTGATTGGTAAGACATATTCAAAGTCATGAAAAGTAGGGACCTACAGCCAAGATTGCTCTACCCAGCAAAGCTATCATTTAGAATTGAAGGGCAGTTAAACAGCTTCCCAGACAAGAAAAAACTAAAGGAGTTCATCATCACCAAACCATTATTATATGAAATGATAAAGGGACTTATTTAAGAAAAAGAAGATCAAAACTATGAACAATAAAATGGCAATAAATACATACCTATCAACATTTGAATCTAAAAAACAAACTAAGCAAACAAGAAGAACCAAGACACAATCATGGATACAGAGTGTGTTTTGATGGTTGCCAGACAGGATGGAGGTGTGCGGGAATGGGTTAAGAGGTGAGGGCACTAAGGAGTACAAATAGGTGGTTTC